ACTCGGCGCAGGTGAGCAGGACGCAGGCGGTGAGCAGCAGGACAGTGTGTCGGACGGAGGGTAACGCTACACAAACTCTTGGCACAGGCATGATGTTACGACCCGCTGAGTGTGCCTCTCACAACGCTCCTGCAACGCTCTCACAACCTGCAGAAACACACAGGAGAGAAATCAATCAATCACTCAGTAAATCAATCCATCCATCAATCATCCATTCAATCAGTCATTCACCCATCCAACCAACCAACCAACCAACCATCCATCAATCACTCAGCAAATCAATCAATCAGTAAATCCTTAAATCAATCCATCAACCAACCAACCATCCATCAATCAATCACTCAGTAAATCAGTAAATCAATCAATCAGTAAATCCTTAAATCAATCCATCAATCAACCGTTCATTTGATCAATCAATCGACAAATCAATCAATCAGTAAATCAATCATCCATTCAATCATTCATTCACCCATCCAACCAACCAACCAACCAACCAACCAACCAACCAACCAACCAACCAACCAACCAACCATCGATCGATCGAGAGAGAAATCAATCAATCAGTTAATCAATGCATCCATCAATCATCCATTTGATTATTCATTCATCCATCCATCCAACCAACGGACCAACCAACCATCCATCCATCCATCAATCCATCCATCAATCACTCAGTAAATCAATCAATCAGCAAATCATTAAATCCATCAATCTACCGTTCATTTGATCAATCAATTGACAAATCAATCAATCAGTAAATCAATCCATTACTCAATCATCCATTGCATCATTCATTCACCTATCCAACCAACCAATCAACCATCAATCACTCAGTAAATCAATCAATCACTTAGTAAATCAGTAAATCAATCAATCAATCACTCATCTGACCTTTTATCCATCCATCCATCAATCAATTAATCACTCAGTAAATCAACCAATCAATCAGTAAATCAAGTCATCAATCAATTGTCTATTCAATCATTCATCCAACCACCCACCCAACCAACCAACCAACCAACAAACCATGCATCCATCAATCAATCAATCAATCAATCAATCAATCAATCAATCAATCAATCAATCAATTAATCAATCAATCAAGCAAGCAAGCAATCAAGCAAGCAAGCAATTGTTCGTTCAACAAGTAAATCAATCAACAAGTAAATCAATCAATCAATCATCCAATGGTCATTTGTTCATTTGATTGATCATTTGTTCATCCAGCAATCCATCATCCATTCATCCACACATGCTTTCTTCCTTGCTTCCATTCATTCATTCATCCATCCATTCCTTTAATCAATCAGCTAACTAATTAATCAATCAATTAATGAATCTATCAATCAATCAATCTATCAATCAATGTGTTCATTTCATCTCACAGGAGCCTGAAGCCCATCGATAACATCAGGAACACACACAACACACACAACACATGGATAAACACACTGCATGAATAAACCAGTCAGCTGTGCTCAGTTTCTCCTCTCTCACGTGACTCCAGAGGAATGTCTATCAGCCCAACCCTAATTTTAATGCAATAAATCCATTTGTTCCCCTAAAAAATATTATTATTTTTTTAAATGTATAATTAAAATTGAATTGCAAAAATTACCAGTTAAGGTTGCCCATATTTGATTGAACATGTGGTTATGACGGCCCAGCAGTTTTACACTGATTTGGTGAATATCAGCACATTTCCTTAAAAATGAAAAAATATGATATTAAACATCTTTAAAATGCAATACATACATTTTAGACTACACAAACGCTGTTGTATTGACCCAACACTGGGTCAGATATGAAAACACTAGATACGTTTTTCAATTAAATTAAAATTAAACTTTAAATGACTACATTGTCCATATCTGGACCAACATTGCATCGGGTCAAATATAGAAACACATTGTTTTTCACAGTTTATGACCAAACACAGACACACGTCTCAAAATCAAAGCATAAAAACAACGACATTAAACAGATTTTGGTCCCACTTTATATTAAGTGGCCTAATATGTAATAATATGTACTAATATGTACAATATATCCAACTAATATGTACTTACATAGGAATTAATAGTTTGTTACAATGCACTTATTGTGTAAATACATGTATTTACTGTGTACTTATGCTCGATTAAATACATGTATGTAATTACATCTGTAATTTACTTTTGTAATTACATTTGTAAGTACACTGTTGACCATCCCTTACACCTTAACCCACCCTTAACCCTACCCACACCACCAAACCTGTCCATAACCCAACCTCTATCCCAACTCAAAAGCACCACAAGTGTTCTCAAACACATTATGAACACAGTAAGTGCATTGTATTTATTTTTTGATGTGAGTAAATAGTAGTTAAGGACACTTAATATAAAGTGGGAGCCAGATTTTAAATGAAATAAATCCATTTGTACACTCAAAAACATTTAATTTTCATTTAAGAATGTGTCATTAAAATTCTTTTCCAAAAAATAAACCCAGCAGTTGG